CCAGTGAAGTCCCTGGATAATTAGAAAATTGGCACAAAATATATAAAATATTTTCTTATAGCAAACAAAATTCACCTCTTTTGAAAAACTAGTTTTGCATAATTCTTCCCATTCCATTGCATTGGCACACCTTTAACGGATGTACATTAACTTACTCCGTTAAAATCATTAAAAAATTCAAAAATCCACCATAATCTACTCAATTATTATCTTTTCAACTTTTTTTATAGCGAAATGTAATTTCATAAAATATAAACATTCTTCCATTTCTAGAAACAATATTACGTTTTTTCGATATCAAAAATAGTTTTCAAATGTTTCTAGTTCTAAGTTGTTAAAATTTTAGTTGAACAATTTTTTACTTAGAGTAAACTATATCAATGGTCGCTCACTTTTATCATAATTTTTAATTTAATCACCAGCTTTTCTTTTAATATACTGTCGTTCATCACTTTTGTTATACATCTCTTACAAACTTCGTTAAATGATGACATAGATGATAATGTGGCATGATGATATGGCATTTAATGAAAACAAAATCACAATTTAGCTAAAAAAAAAGGTCAATAGGCCACAAGGAAAAAAATAACATATTTGTAGTAGTAACTAGAATATTTTGATTATTGAGAATCTGATGATCACATAGAGCTAAGAATCAAACTAGTTAAAGACTAGTTATGAAAAGAAAGAGAGAGACTTGGTTAAAAATTAAATATAGAAAAAAAATACTACTATTAAATTTATATAGTTGGATTAATTCTAATGGTTTTTAATAGGTGGAGGTACCGCATACCTTCTTTCTTTAAAGTATAATTAAAAGAGACAAAAGGTGCAGATTTACTTTAAAAGTGCCACGCAAAAAAAAATGATGACATAATTTATCACCTCAATTTTTTATTTTTAAAAAATTAAACAAAATTTAACAATTACAGTTAACTTTTTAGTAGATTTTAAGAGCAATAATTTAATAACAATTGAAGCGAATGGAGCTAATGGAGATGTAGACATAATTAGATTTATAAAGGGGAAATGCTTTGGGGTTGACTCAGTTCTGGATTACATAAATTTGAAATACAAGTTTCCAAACACTAACACAACCTTATGATATAGAATACATTGCACTAAACAATAGACAATCAAGAAGTCAGTTCCGAAGCACACCCAAGTCGAATTGCAGGATTAACATAGAAAAGAAAAAAAAAAAAAGGGAAAACTTACGGTTTCATGAGAGTCGCTGAGGTGATCTGGTAGTCAAAAATCGTATTCTATCCCTTCTGCTGTGAGCCATTCCTTTGGACGAGTTAATCCCAAGAGATTCATCAATATCCAAACGAAAGTGAGAAGTTGTCCCCATCTGCTTGCTTGCCTTGCCTTGCATGCACAATTGGTTTGCAATTAATAGCGGCATAGCATACTATTTCTACCCATACTTTGCTGATTAACTCCCATGGAGTGGGATGCTTGAGCAATTCTCTGGATAGATAACATGCAGCAGTTACCCTAGAAAACTCATCCATTAAGGCTTCCTTCTGTTCAGCGCTCATTAGTTTGTCCATCTCTCCAAAGACTAACTTGTCCATATCTGGGTTTATTTTTCTCAATAACATTTCCACATCCATTTTTTCTTTGTTCAATATCTTGTCCAGACTTAGAACGGATGTTTCTGTGAATCCCTTTTCATCTGGCCACTTCCATTGCGTCGAAACGCTGGAATGTACTCCCTGAATGACTTTCAAGATGTCATCATGTGATGAACCGGGAACATACTGGGCTCTGTCACTAACAAGTAAAACATATAATTTGAAAACAACTTGCATATTTCTCGGTGATTAAGATTCCCAGATGTGGAGGTAGAGCTGGCGCAGTGGTTACTTTGATGACCACTTAGGTAGCATATTTCAGTGGCTATGTGCCACATCAAAAGGCTTTCTATGTTTTCAAACTTCTTGATGCTCCAATAGATATTGCCATTATCTTGGAGAATTCCACCATATTTCTTAGCATCAATTTCCTTTCTCTTTCACCGTTCATTATCTGCAATAGGATTTAGTACTGATTCCAGCAGTTCTCTAAAAATGAAGTGCCACTCTTGGTCCGCTTTAAAATCCTTGGAAGACACACATCGGATTCTTTTTATGGCGCTTCGGATTCTTTGCATGACATTCAACAAACTTTTTGGAAGATAGCTGGAAATCATGTTTTCCTTGACACGACAAGTTATAAAATTTAATTGGGAAACAGAGTTAGACCACCTACGCTTGTTGTGCTTTTGGGATTCCATATTCTCGTAGTGACCAAAACAAATCCAATCAGAGAACATGACGACAGATATGAAGGAAATTAAATCCAATGCCAAGGCCCCAATGAGCAACCCATAGGTCAGCTAGGTGTCAAACTCCCCCAACTTGTAGTGCCTTCTTAAGCATTGAGAATAACAACAAAGCTCCCAAGATGCAACCAAAGTTAGCAATGCGGTAAAAGTATGCAATCTTGGAATCAACCACAGGTAACTTGGTATGAAGGAGCTCATACAAGAGGCTTAAACTGATCTCTATGTTTTGAAGCACTTCACTTGAATGTGAGCAACTTAGCACTTCACCTCAATTTGAACGCCTTATTGTTGATAAAACAAAACGTTTTTGTTCTGGAGGCATACGAGGACCTACCAGTAGGCTCTTGAAAATGCCAAACACAGCAAATATCCCATCTCTACAGAAAAATTTTGTATTCAGAAATTGATTTGGAAACCTGCCATAAAACAAATAACCAAACGGTGAGTGCTTGCCAATCATCGGCCAATGGTGGGTCCGCCAATTATCCCCAAAATGGTCAAAACATGCAAGATAAAAAGCACGATTCCGTTCTGCATACTTGATTGTGCCTGCAATTAACACGAGGAAGGTTGGGAGCAAAAGCTTGCTCTGGGGGAGTGACTGAAGGATAACATATATAGTTGAACCAATTTGTAACACAAGTCCAAGTAAGTGTCTGATCCAGAACTCATTATCCTCCATAGAGAAGGAAGTAATATTATCGGGGCCACCAAGATGTAACAAAAGAAAGGGTGCCCAAAATACCAAGATGTCAGTAGGTTCAGCCCGTAAGATGAGTCCAATCGTAAATGTAGCAACCCAGTCTGCAAGCAAGTATGCCAACCAGATAGAAATCATGACGATCCACTTCCCCCCCTTTTGTTTCCTCAATGGTGCAAACAGAATTAAGAAAGATTGAACCAAGAAGCTTAGAATAATCAGTCCTTTGATATTCCATGTATCCCATAGATTTTTAATGTTTTCAGCACTGAAGAATACCATCTTCTTTAGTTTGTTTTGTTGTACCATATTTGTCTTGCAAATCCCTGCCAAACGCTTTACCCTATAACAAGTTGCACAATGAGGTCCGCTTCAACTATAAACCTCCCATTGGATACCCTACATTATAATAGATTTAAGCTTCAATCAAATGAGACATATAGGACGCATTGATTTTGGGATAATAATGTGTGCTAAAATAAAATCTAAAATTAATTGACAATAAATAACCTAAAATTAATTGGTAATAAATGTAATGATTATATCATACTTAAGTTTAATTTAGTAGTTTTTCCTTAATTGATGGATATAAGATATTTTACTTAACACTTGCAAAATAATTCAAATGAACATTATACTGGAAGTGGCCACGGTTTTGGTTTCCCTCTACCCTATTTCTCCCATCCTCTATTTCTTCTTCCCTTCTTTCTTTAATTTTGTTTTTCCTTCTATTTTTTTAGGTTTTTTTTTTCTTTCTTTTTACTTAGATTTTCTTGTAAGGGTTCTAATCTCCCTTTAAGAATGGCTTCTATGCGTGTTTGACTTTCCAGGCATGGTTTGTGGGAGTTTATCAATGTTTTACGTCCTTCCCTATGGTGAATGTTGAGATTAGAAGAAATCTTAGGTAGGTGTTGTGTTGTCATGGAATAATTTTTGTAATTGCTTTTTCATATTTTAGGTTAGCTGTATTATGTTGATTTATGGCTTCACCATTAGATTTACATCTGGATTTGACTATAATATTTTATTCTTTTGATTGTTTTTGGTTATAATATTTACGTTACTATTAAATTACATAGTCTTTATTTAATATGATTTTAGTTTTAAGTTATTATTGAGTTTTCATCCTTTATACATTTAAGAACTACTTTTATATTTAGAAATAGAAATTTATTGTAAAAATCTAAATTTACTAAATTTAATTTAAATATAATACTAGTTATTAAATATATAAAAATAAAAGTAAAAATTTAAAATCAAAACTATGCTAAATAGAGTCTTAATTATCTTACACGTAAATTAATGGTGTGTTATACTTTAAAATTAAGTTTTGCTGTGCCTTTAACGCACTGGACCAC